TGCTGTCTTGCAAATCAATCTCTGCCGTGTAGTTCACATGTGTTGCAAACGGTTCTGAAGTGTATATTCAAAGTCACGTTCGTTTCCTGTGCTGTAATGACTCAAATCGGCGTGGTACCTCAGTTGGTGCCCGTACCCACACAAGACTACCACAGGTGTTCTCAAAGACATGGTGCCAATTACTTCGTCACCTCACTGCCCCTTTCCGTATAAACGAGTGTGCTACATACATATACTAGTAATTCCTCTGTCGACACTTCATTATTTTTAAAGCTCTTAAAAAGTTTTGTTTCGCCATATACTACCTACTGTCTGAAAGACGCTTTCTCTGAGAAAATGTAGGCAGTCTTTGTGAACATGTATGTATATGTATTATGTGTTAAGAGTCACAGGAAGAAAATTTAAATCTAGCAGAAATGTCAAGCTGATATTAATTGTGGATCACAATAAAGTCGAAGTGAACGTGGTCTCGCACCAGTTGTAGCACTATAAAAGAGTTCATCTTCCACTGGTCGCAGCAGAAGACACTGTATGAAAAACCACGTTTCCAAGAGTTTCCAGTCCCGCACACGCCCGTGAAATTCGCCGTGTCCTGGTCGCGTCCATGGATTTCCGGGCTCCGCATGTACGGCCCCGGATATTTCCTTAAACTCCCGGATTCGTGCTCGCCGTGCACGTGCACGGACATTTACGCCCCGCACACTTGGCGTGTGTTGGGGAGCGGCTAACAATAAGGGGTAATTAGGTACTGCGTGTATTCATGTTTCAGGTGATAATTACTTGAACCAAAGTTGCCAGTACTTTAATCTAAGCAAATTAGATATAGAATGATCAAGGATTGTTAATACAACATTTGAACCTATGCGTTCTTGGCTTGTTTATCGTCAGGTCGTCCATACGACAAAACACATTTGAGCGTAACTAGGGCGCCCCGACGCTGGGGTTATATAACCTACTCGGTCAAAATGACCTAAATCTACACTCCAGTCTAAATCTGAATTTTTTATTTTGGAAATAATAGTTTATCCGTGAGGTTCATTACCATGATGTAATCAAACGCTTGACTAAAGGGGTTTGAACTAACGTGACCTGATCAGTTTGCTATGATTTTTAGGTACATGTATGGGTAATAATATGCAAGCTTTACATTGTAGTTCGGTCGATGTGTATTGTGAAGTGTCTGAGACATGGCGTCCATTTATGTGAATAGCCTTTGTGTAAACAAAGGGAGAACTCACAGCGTCCCCACGCCTGGTAAAATACTGAACTCCAGCAAAACAAGTCTACAACTCTCATGACATTAATTGTGGATTTTGGATACATTTACAAAGAGTAAGGTTATGTTGGAGTTAAAGTGCGGTTTTATTTCACTCAGTGAGCGACAAGTTGTGTAATTCTAGAACGAATAAAGCCATGTAATCATGACGAATTAGAATTATGAAGATCATTTGTCTGCCTTGAAATAAATACATTCACACAATCAGAAACATCCTATCATCCAAGTGTTCAGACTGCACAGGCGATTTTACTTAAATCCTATAATATAAAAACAAGATCGTTGTAGTATTGAACGCGATCACGTGATTATATGACTGACGACCAATCCTACCTCGCTCTCGCCGGGACCAGCCAATAAGAGACGCGATGCTTTGTTTTGGTGGGTCGTTTGAATCTTGCTTTGTCACAACGACGGTTTGCTTTTTCAAAACACGTTTGTCTCGGCTTGCAAAGATTACTAGTATCTTCCTGAACTAAAATGGCGTCAAACATTCCGTTCTGTTACTTCGTTTTCGCAACGGAAGAAATGACTCTACTACACGGGCCGACAATTTGCCGACAGCACCGCAACGAACCAGGAAACCGACAGGAGGAAGGGTAAGCTAAAACAATGATACTATTATATATACGGCACTATCGTTACATATATCTTAATCATGTTGTTTAAAAACCTTGGCTAAGTTGTGCCTACGGCAGAAATATTTATTTTGGCAAGAAGTGTACACTATTTTTTTACTGATTAATAACATAGTTTATTATTTCTACTTAGAAGTACATCGATATAGTTTGTATGTTGCTCAGAACATATGCATTTTTTTCAGGCGCGGATTTGGGATACTTTGAGACGATTTGAAGAAACTTTATCGCCAGGCTGTCGGAGAGCTCAGAAAAGAAAGAAAGAAAAGCGACAGCAGTCACACAGAAGAGGGTGAGTCTATGCAAATGTATATCTTTGCATACGAAAGCCGACAAGGCTCTTGACAATTTGAATTGTTTTCATTACCGAGGGAAATGTTGTGTTTGTATTGTTCCCATGATTACAATAAAAAGAAACAAGTAGACGTTGATGCTTGATGAATGGAGCCTTTTCATCTGGACAAAATTGTTGCTGTCTGACGTTAAAAACATTCGTTAAAAAATTATAAATGACTTCTCCTCGAAATGTGTCCATACAGACGTCCGCATCTTTGCCAGGCTTGTTTATAAAACGTCTAGTACATGTACACGTAACTTCAAATGAAATTCAAAAATGCCTTCGACTTTTGACTTAGATTTTCGTTTTTCCATGTCCTGCAGGCCAGGCTGGAGGCAAACAGGCAGACTGCACACCCAGGCTCAGATCTAAAGGCGAGGGTGCTGTGTTAAAGCGCCCGGCAGGCTCCGACGACCCAGGCCGGCACCGCTGCACTCCCGCCCGGGGTGCACCCCGCGCCCAGCACGCCGCTCCGGCCTGACTGCGATCACAACCGACACCAACACCACGCCATCCCGCAGACAGACAGGGGGCAGTTTGTCCTTCCAGGATGAAAACGTTTCGTTATGGTCCCCTGAAGCAAGGGGGGGGCATACCTCCTGGCCTGAAATCTACAACTAAGCCTCATTTTGTAGAGGCGACAACGCAAACTTTACGAAACCGACAGCTTGTCTTTAACGACATTGTAAATTGAATACGTGTTCATGTAATTAATTTCTGAGCAAATGATCTTTTTTGTAATGACGTGATATTGTTTTCTGCCAAGCCTCATTTAACTTCATGTTAGGTCTGCAATTATGTTTTTGCTACACGTACATGTATTTTGAAGAACTTTGTTTGAGGCCTTCTTTGTTAGTGAAAATTTAGTCTTTTGACTGTTTGTGTAAGCGCCATTCACTTTCATGATATGAGGGCTATTTTCCTCTTTTAACCTGATGATATGTCAGTATTAGTTACTTTTTGACATTTTTTGCTAAAATGGACTTCTATTTGGAGGTGACTGTGATGAGATGTGATGTTAGTTTACTTTTTAAAGTTAGAGAAATCTGTTAATTACTAGTAATTTCTGAGTTTACACCGGGTCCAACGATTTTAAAAGTCTAGTCCCTGGAAGGCTAGTTCGGGAAAAAGCTATATATTGTTTCTATGTTTCGGCTACACATTTTTGTAAAGTACCAGGTTACATTATTGTATAGTGTTAGCATAGTGCATAACGTGTATACACTATACATAGAGCGTTATTTTTGTCAGTCTGTAAATGGCGATCCTGTTTATACCAATAAAACGATGAATGAAGTATAAACATGTATTACTTTTTTTTATGAATGAAATGTGTACCTAAAACATCGAAATGTGTCCCGGGAGCGGGGGAAGCGATTTCTCGGGAGCCGGGCAGCGAAGCCCCGGGAGCGGGAAGGGGGGTCCCCGAAGTGGGTGCAGTGGGGTCCCGAGAACGGGAACAGCAGGGCCCCGGGAATGGGAGCAACGGGTCCCGGGAACGGGAGCAACTGGTCCCGAGAGCGGGGTGGGTTGTGGCCGGGAGGGGGGGGGGTAGTACCGGCGTGTCCGACCCGTACACGGCGAATTTCCGCTGCCGTGTGGAGAATAATTAGGTGATAATTGCCGCTAAATTATGCATATTCCAGCAACGCACGGAGCGGTGCACGGCCATTTCCTGCCGTGTACGGGGATGTACAGGGATCGTGTCCGGGCATATAACGTCCAGTACACGACCTGCACACAAAAAGTGGTTCATTTCCGGGAGTGTACTGGACATGTACGGGACTGGACACGTTTCGTGTGCAGGTCGGAAACCCCCGGGTTCTACCGGAAACCTAAAATATCCGGGAAAGTGTGCGGCAATTTCTCACACGGAAACGGGGGATTTTGCACGGTGAGAGACAGACACTACAGTATATATAGAGTGTACTTTGTACAAGCACAATGAACAGAGGACCGTGGCTTAACCGCCTTTCCAGTAGCATCACGGTACTAGTATTTAAAAGTCACTTGAGCGACACTGAACGACCAGGACTCCGGAACTCTCTCGACCTCAGGGTCAAGAGGCAGAGTTCCTCAGTTACCACCAGATCACACGCACGTGCACGCTACTGTCACAGAGACGTCAGAGACTCTGTCAAGAACGTCAGAGACAATCCCAGCATCCAATCACTAGGAACCACTGACTGGCTCATTCACTGACAAGTGGTCTGGATGGGTCAGTGCGTGGGTGTACATTGTAGTTGGTGTACGTCGGGGACCGGCAATGATGTTCAATATCACTAATTCTATATGCTCGTACATCTATAACTGTGTCAAGAAGCGAGAAGAAGTCGAACAATGTAAATAGTAGATCACATTAGTATGTATAGTTTAAGTATCATTGCTGTATCCATTTCCTTGTCTATCCATGACCTGTACTTAGCTTGTTAGAGCACAAACGTACAATAAAGGTCTTTCATTCATTCATTCATTCAATATATAATGCCTCACTGTACTATTAAAGTCGCATTTACCGCCACACTGCGCCGTGCCATTGGTCTAGAAGACTTTCAATAGTTCTAAGCTTCGGATGGAACTAACTTCAAGTTCAGAAAGATCACGAGCATTCAATGAATTGAACTTGTCTACTCCCAGAAAAAAACATCAATATTTGTGACACATGAACTTCAGTCTAAATCTAGAATATTCCAAACATTATATTGAAGATGAGGATTCAAGTAATAATGCTCATAGATACACTTAGTAACAAAAACGATGGCACTTTTTATTTGCTTTGCATGTAATGGCAGAACTGGAAACATGTCCAAGATAAATATATTAATATACCTGTCTACAAGATGACTTTATATGATTGATGAATTTGGAATAGAGAACATTCAGTTAGTTTTGTTATTCTATTAAATCATGGGTGTAATAAAGTTACCAGTTCCATAATTTTTTTCATGGTATAGAATGGAAACATGCTGTCGTGAACTGTTAAACTTGAAACCTTAATAGATAATGTGAACTGTAAAACATTCATTGTCTTTTAAATATGATTTCTATGACATTATGGTGGTGGTCTTCAAACAGAGTACTCTTTCTTCCTTAATGCATTGGTGATGATACTGGCTGAAGTGAGCATGGAGATGAGATACTGCTGTTTCAGATGTTCTTCTTGCCCTCTGTCTGGTACAGTGGCTGGTATGTCAATGCTATGAGAAGTGTAAAACACATATATTGTGCAATATCATAGCTGAAAATATACTGATATACTACATGGAAAAACGGAACAATCTATCATGAATTTATTGGCTAGATTTGTTTTTATACATTCAACATATAAAAGCAATGTAATACAAATGTAACTATCAGCACATATTTTCAAAATGATAAGAATCATTTAAAAAAAAAATTAAATTCTAAAAAGCTTGATCAAATTAATTTTCCTTACCCATATCTGTTCTCATTGTCTGAAGCCTGTGATTCTGATGTTGTACATGCTTCTGACCCTATGCAAACAGGCACAATGTATTATCATAGTGCTGGACTTGTACATGATGACTTGTCACTTGCACTCAAAAGAAAAAGAGACAAGCACTTAAAATCCCAGATACTAATGTACACATTACATATTGAAACCTTGTATTAGAGAGACTAAGTGCTGGTAGATGTAATTGTTCTCACCTGAACTGCACAAACTGTCACTCATAGGGATTGCTGACTGTGGTCCATATGGCACCTGGATAATAGAACAGTATGTTTCCACTCTATACCATGCAATTTGTAAGCTAACATTATACAAATGCTAATAGTGCAGAAAAATGTTTAACTTGTACCTACTTCAGAATCTGAAGATAGGTTCCCACTGTTTAGAAAGTAGCGGTGCCTGAGGTAGTGATCTGTCAGAAGGCTGTGCAGGTTGGACCGGAAGTGTTCAATTTCTTCGTTCATCTGTTCCCTGAGTACACCATCTGCAGAGAGGCATACCCAAAAGATTACCGGAAAAGCCATGGAATTTTTGCCTCAAGGTGTACCATGAGCTGACTGGCGTAGGAATTAAAAACGGCTGTCAGCCTTGGGGTTACCTTTTCGACATGTCCACCAAACCTCCATGTCTTTTTCATTGACAAATTGAACTAATACATGTATTCACTCTTTGCATAAATGTTGCATACATGTATTAGATTTTAAACTGTTTCAAATCTGTTGATGAAAAATACAACTACTAAACACACCCTACAGTCTGAGTGGGATGGTCCTTACCCAGCTGTCTCAGTGTCTCTGCTTCAGGTAACAGTTGTTCATCCTCCACACTACAGTCTTGAGAATAATTGTCTGTACTTTGCACAGTACTCATCTCCTCATATCCACATACCTGCAGTATGACAAAAATAGTTCAAGATTTACAGTATTCTACCATCACATATATGAGATATTCACATTTCCTTGTTACAAAATAAATAAAAAGTTGATCATTCCATTGCATTGTATAAAATGTCATCCTTTTTACCATGAAGTTTAAAACAAAGATGAAAACCTGGACCTGCATGTCCTGATATTTCTGACAGCTGGCTGTTGGTTCTTGAGGTACAAGTCCTTGGCTGCAACTTTCTTGGTCATGTTCTGTACATATTGGTTGAGACATCTCTTCAAGGTCAACTTCAAGAATCTGTACATCTTCTCCTCCACCAGCCTGTTGGGAATAGTATGAAACATTATATAATACCAGGTAGGTATTATTATAGGCAAATGAGAATTAAACTCTGTCTTTAAATCACTGCAGACTGTACCGTGAGCAAATGTGTAGTAATTTTGATTACTACAAAATGAAGATTGAGGTCTTCTTCATCCTTGCTTTTACCTGTATTGTTACTCACTTTTCTTTCAAATTGCTATGCCAACATTTGGCTTAAGTTTGAACCATAAGACATTTAGCAGAACCTGCCTGAGAGAGCTGTTTGTTTCCCTCCATCTCTGTTAGTTTTTGGTTAGTCCTGTGATTCTTGTCCTGTAGTGATCCTTGGGCCATCCTTTGGTGATCTTCATCTGTAAACACATCTGGCTGTTGGTACCTTAAGGACAACACAATGATACCATATAAATCTTTGCATGGATTTTGAGTAGTATTTGGTAAGGATTTCATTGAAAGTTGCTGTTCAAGAAAGTGTAGTTGTGAAAAACATGTAGCAATGCTCAATTATCTCAATGATGTTGTTAAGGGGGTCTTAAGGGCAGTACCAATGAGATGGAAGTTGATAGGCAGGTCCCTCAGAAGACAGAGGTTCAGGGTCATACAGTGAGGGGGACCCTGTGGGCAGAGTTGAACCTCCTCCAAACAAAACGTCAGAACCGAAAGTCATCCTCTTCACAGCTGGGCTGGTGGCCATTCTGGGAAAACAAAGAGAGAAGGAACTAATTTCAAAGATTTTTGTGACAAAATGGATTTTTTTCATCCAAGCTATGTGTGCCATAATAACCAAGGGGCACTACCCGGAATATTCCCTTATTGAATATGTGTATGAGGAAAAAAACTTGAACTTGACTCTGATTTTTCAGAATAATAATAGAGTAAGAGGGTGTTATAGCCTCCTTGAATGCAGTTTAGAACAATGCACCAAAGAAGTGGACATTCAGGTCACCTACAAAAATTCGCTGTACGGTTTTTAAATTAACTACGGAAGGAATTGATACAAACTTCTACGTTGTAAAATAAAACTTCCTCAGTGCCAGAAAAAAACTCGTCGTCGTAACAAATTTCGCGCCAAAATTTTGCTCCTGCGCAGTTACGTCTACGCATGCGTAGTAAGATAAAAGTGCCCGGATGTCTCTCAATGCGCATGCGAATTCCTCCGAAATGCCCGGATGTAAAGGGGCGGTCTGCTGTGGAAAGTGTCGTCTGATTTTCGGTGTCCTTGGAACGATTTGATTGTCTTTCAACTTTTCCCCTCAAGTTTTCATCTGTTTTTTCTCAACAAATGTTCTGCGTAGAAGAATATCTCCTTATTATGACGCTGGACGCAGTTATGGTGAAATTTGAGGTTGGAAGTCCTTTTTTTTGCACCCATTTTGCCCGATTCAAAACAGCTGTCAAATATCAACTTCCGTTCAGGGGGCAAGTTCATTAGTGGCGACTAAATTATCATCGAGTCTACCAAAAAGTTAGAGAAGTTATGTTTAATTACTGATACACGATGTGTACAGCCAGTTCAGGGGAAGTTTACAAAGTGATTTTGAGAAGATAGGCCTGTTGTTGTTAGAATATTTAACGTTATATATTAATTATTTGTTAGCCAATGGAATTCAATTACAGGCCAATAAATTTCACAACCGTGACAACTCAATGGACAGGGTAGTAAATATAACAACACTTCAAGTCCTCATTGAATGCCCGAAGGCTATGAATTCAACGTCATGTTTTAAGATTTTTCCTCTGTTCTGAGAAATTTGATATTGGACTTGATGATTTGAATATGAATGATTGGTGACTTCATTGAGGTTCAAATTGTACATCAATGGTGACATTTTCTTCAAGATTGTGAATTGTTTGTAAGGATAAGAAAACACAAAGAAAGATAATTGAATATTGCTCCCATGTTACTGATTCTAATTGTTTTATGAAGGGTTTATGCTGACTCCCTTTTCAATACAATTACTGCTGTATTTGTTTTTTAGTGATGTATAAATTATAATGTTTTATTTTCATTTCTGTCTTCCTTAGCATATTATGAAAATATTTAAAATCATATTAGAACTGTTCAAAGACATGGCCATTTCTTGAGTACAAGTACATACCAGTCACACACATTGATATATTCCAGGAATATATATTTTTTACTTTCAGGTACATGATGGCTATGTGTTCTTCTCATTAAGTGTGGTTGAGTGGGCAGCAGTATAAGCAAAGGGAAGTTCAAGTTCAACACCATGAAGGATTCAGAATCAGACATCTCCACAAGTGTGGCACAGATACAAGGTATGTTCCATAGATATTAGTAGATAGTAGATCATTTCAGCCAGGCAGGTAGGACGATCCCTTCCATTTGAGGGCACCCTTCACCGGATCATCATTTATCACACCGGATATTGCTAGGATTCTAACATTGCAAAAAGATTTTTGTGAAGTAGTACACATAGAAATAGGTCTAACGTAAGGTAGGTACACCTAAAAGTTTCCCACAAAAGAAAGAAGCTAGGGCCACATCTGCATTTTATGTTGTATATGTTACACTACAATGTGTTCTACTTAACTATAACTGATGTCCAAAGGTACTGATAGTATACACATCTTGCAATTATTTTGTAATTATCTACTTCTATACCAGCCATTATAAAGGCTTTAGAAAAGGACAAGGATGAAAACAAGGCAGCACAACGGGCAGAGAAGTTGTCAGAGCTGTTGGACAAAATGTTGGTGATAGACGGTGGCAATGACAAGTATACAACTGCTTCAGCCGAGGTAAGTTATGCATATCAAAGTCTTAATGATTCAAGTGATGGAAGTAATACATGCAAACTGAGAATTTGGCCATGTGAAAGGAGATATTAGTTAACATAGACCGTACCAACTTCACGATAAATTGAAATATCAGCTTGAAAACAGTTTCAGGAAATATGCATGATTGATGTAAGTTTCCCTCCCACCCTTCTGTTTGCATCTTGTTAATTTTTTACTTTAATGTCCTTGAACCAAGGAAAGAAATTGTTGTGGCTGTAACTTGAAAACTATTGTGTATCCCTTTGTATCAATCTTCAGATATAGCTTATGACTATGATTATTTATGCATGTACTGAATTGTTACAGCTGCAGAACTGTGCTGTCAACCTGTGGAATATTGCTGTGGCAAAGAGAGCAGGGGGTCACCTGAGCACCGACTTAAATGCAAGACGTAATTATCTCATATGTTCATAATTCAGAGTTACGGCTCACTTGTAAGAGGTTAAATTCTAATTGGCAATATAATCACATCCATAATTCAGGCTGCTACATTCAGGGTTGAAGATAATTCATCAAGTGCCCTTGAGGCTTTGTAAGAACGAAATGATAAATGATAGGCTCATTAATAATTGCTGGGCATATATATCATGATGAAGTAATTCTATCTGTCAAATGTTTGAATGTGCCCATTTTATACCCCCAATAGCTTAATTGCGTTGGTGTTGTGATGTCTATTGTCATTTGAAGCAGGTATTCTTCCCAGAATCAGTAGAGTGAAAAGAGCAGCACTTATTGGTCATATTAATCATCATGGATTAAAGAGATGATATCGGGCCAGGATTAAGTTTTTCATCTCACTGGTCAATTTCCTAATGTTTCTTTTTTGCAAAGAAGTTGTTGCCACTTACATAATCTTGACCATTATGATATAAATGGTAACTTTTCCCCCCACAGTGCGACACCTTGCTTGCCAACTTGCCTTCAAAGTCAATTCATTGGAAGGATCTGAGGTGGTCCTGAAGAGAAGGGTGATGGTTAGTTAACTTTTCCATATAGTTAAACATGCCTTGAGGAAGTATTTAACCTTGTCATTCATAGTTCTAAACTTGACAATATAGTCTAGCATGGCCAATGTTAAAGACTTTTAAACCATTTTCAATGCTATTACCGTTTTCGTAAAAATACAGATGGCCAGTAAAACTGGAAGAGCATGGTTGGACTGTGGGAACCCATCCCTGGCAGACAACTCCTTGTCTTTGGCATCAGAGGTAAGTAAGTACAGTGGTAGAAATCCTTTATTTCAGTGTTCTGCAATATTGCAAAATGTCAAAATTTTCTCCTGCAATTTGGAAATACTTTCTGCAAATACACAGTCACTTACAAGTCCAGACCTAAATCCATGGTATATACAAATTGAAGTATTTTTCTTACGCCATACCGTATTTAAAACCTAATCAAAGAACTTGAAAGACTGCATTTTATTCAGAGAAAGGCTGCAATTTTTGTAATTCTGGATAAACATGTACCCAGTAGTAATAGACTTTGACATATAATGTAGTTGTTATCATGATGCTCTCAGTGCAGCCTCTGAAACCTGATATACTTGTAGCAGCCTCACCTTTGTCCCAGATCCCTGGTGGCCACCTTTGCTCTGTCAGCTTGTTTGGCACCCTGACCCTTACCTGAACCCCTGCGTCAGTAGGTAGCGTGGTTTACCTTTGACAGCTCTTGACACACCTTGTAGGTGACATGTTTCTTAATGGGATTTAGCCTTGCATTTTAATTCAAGGCATTTCTACCATCACTTAGCGACATGTAACTAGTCGAGGCATTCATCTATGATCTGCAATAATGTGACATTAGCTTGCACCAGATACTAAAGATACACGCAGTGCACACTGTATTCAAAGCATGCACCACTTGATTGATTGGATTTCTCATTATGTACGGTTTAGTATACGGTTGGGTTGACTTGAAGGAACCACCTGTTGCAGATGCTTGTTAAACTCAAGGGTGGTTTTTGCAAACATCATTAGTCGGAATCCATAGAAACTGGATATTTTTTGGGTCTGATATTTTCTGATTCCTTATCATTTTGTCTTGCAAGCTTGGTAAATCAAAGTTCAGTCAAAACATGAATGGTTAATATTGTAAGTAGAATAGGCTGTTGGGAAACAAGTACTCAATTATTAGTCCCTTAACAGAATGATTCAGATATCGTCTTTGTCATGAAATCTAATTCTGGCCTTACGACAGAAAATTCTCTTTGTAAATGTGTTACACACAGCATCATGGTTTGGGTTCTTGAATTTGTGACATAATCTCCAAAGGTCTGCATAATTCTGTGTTAATCCATTTATCCAGATTACCTCTGCTAAATCTCGAGGGTTCTCAATGCCGTAATTCAATTCTCCCCCTTCAAGTCAGTAATCTACCTAAAAACCCTTTTAATCATCTTGTGCATGGTACAGGTTCCAGTTTTATGGGTCGCTTTATTTCTATGTAGCTCGCTATTTGTTATTGTGAATGCATAGTTAAGGGTTATTGACAAATTATTTGAATCGCAAAGCTGACTGTCACTCGGACAGACTGCCCCAAAGTCACAACAGAGCGTTCAGTCGTGTCGTTCAGACTAGTTGAGACTAGTTTTGCCAGATGTCCCCTGAAGACAATTTTTGCAGGTGAAGGTTTTCAGGACCTGTACCCGTAACTAGTGTAAGGGGGATTAAGAGACTATGTGTTATCCTACAGACTGATGTCATTAATCACTGCCACCTGCTTGTTGTATAACCTGAGCTTAGAGATAATTCTGTGTAAGCATCAAAGGGCACCAGGGACAATTAGATAAGTGTGGGCTTCAAACCACTGCAATGTAGTTTTTGCATGATAGATTCATCATGCTTATTACCTTCGCCAAGAAGGTTATGTTTTCAGGGGCGTTCGTGTATGTGTGTGTTTGTGTGTGTGTGTGTGTCTGTCTGTAAACACGATAACTTGAGAAGGCCTTGATAGATTGTCTTGATACTTGGTAGGTGGATAGGTCTTGATGAGACCTCAAAATGATTAGATTTTGGATCCCCTAGCGGCTTGTTATGGTATTGCAGCTGAACTTCCGGTTTTGATATCTCATGATATAGACATGCTATGGTAATGAAATTTGGATGGTAGGTAGCTCTTGTGCTGGGGAAGAAGTGACGTGAGTTTAGGCCCCCTAGCGGCTTGCTTTGGAACTGCAGGGATATATTCTTGAAAATATTCAAAAGAGGATAACTCAAGAACCTGTTGACGGATCGTTGTGGTTTTTGGTATGTAGGTAGCTTACGTGATGCTTAATATAATTATGTGACAATTATGCAAATATGGATGTAATTTGCATAATTTATGAGGAAATTCTATAAATCATCTGCATTCCATGATAGGACAATTGAAGCTTGTGACATTGGTAATTGACAATGAGAGAAACACGGGGAGATATTGATTATGTTAATGATGACTTAATTTGCATAATTAATGAGAAAATTTTATAATTATGTAATGATAACTGCTTGGAATTTCATACTTGTGGTATTTGAAAGTCAAATTGAGGTGAACATCATTAAACATCATTTATTAAAATCAGGACCTCATTTGCATAATTTATTAGGAAATGCTAGAATGCATTGTTTGTTAATATAAGACTGTCTTTTGGTTGAGATTATGATAAAATGATATAATTCATGAAAATTAGGTTCCTATTTCTTAAATCAGGGGGGAATAATATAATCTATAATTTGTCAGTCATAAAGATTAACATCATTTGGCGAAGGTATGAGATCGGGGAACTCTAGTTGGTTTATTCATTTGAAATCAAAGCACTAGTCTACAGTACAATGTGTATAACACCAATGCTAAATCACCTTGAATGAACTGCAGCAATGATTGAATGGCTTTTAGAAACTTTGTAGATTGAAAGCAGAGGTATACAAGTGCCCTAGTGACACCAGGGCTTCTGCCTACCTCTCTGTGCCTGTTACAGGGAGCTCTGTTTCAAAACAAACCTATATTTCAGTACCACCACTGGGGCCAAGAGGTCTTCACAAGAATTTGGCCTGCTTCCAGAAACCACAGCCTTATCCCCCTAAATCTTCTTACCACACCAGTTTTGGACTCTTGTGACCCCAGATGGCTTTAAACAGCAATAGATGTGTGTATAAGTTTGTACATGTCAAGTTAAATGTAAGTACAGGTGCATGATAATGTCCTCATTTTCAGAGAGTACTAGTAGGTTACTTTATGAATGCTGGAGTTAGTAACTAAGGAAAAGTTTGTCAACAGGACTGCCACCTATTGGGCTGAATGAGAACTGCAGTTGTCATGGCTGTAAACATTGCTTTCCAAGAAGGTCATGTTTTGCCCCCCAACCGGTTTAGTCCTTGGTGTGCCTATTTTTGGCAGGTCGACTTCTCTGATATGTAGCCTTCATAAGGTACATTAATGTATCCTGTTGGCATATTCAAGTATACAATTAATCATTAATGATTAACAAGTTAGCAACTTTACATTATATATAATATGGAACATAATTCTGATGTGCCATGTTACCCTTGTTTTGATGTACAGTCAAATTGTACTTCCTAAAGCTAAAGGCACCATCACAAAATTTCCTTTTGCCAGCATCATTAATCATTCTTCAGTAAATCCAAAAGCTTTCTTGGTGAAGAGTGTTGAAGTAGTTTAACAATTAACCTGATAAGGGCTCCCTTGACATAATGAGGTCACTAGGACATAGAATCCTACCCTTCCCTGAGGTAAAACAGTCATTTATCCAAAAGTGTGGACAGGTCAAAGCAGTGAACCAAAACATGACTTGTCAGGTGACAGGTCATTGACCTCTCAGTGGGCTTGTTACTGTTTAGATTGATAACTGAAGTAATCCTTTCACTGGAAGTCCTATGCAGCTGTCTTTATCATATCAATAACATGTGTGCATGACTCATTGGCATGTGTTGTACAGTATACATAACAAACCTGTTCAAAGAAAGGAAACCCTAAATCATGATTGACATCAAGTCAGTCAACCTTAGCTTTCAGCCAGCTTGCTGTTTGTTCCCTTATATCACTTCCAATGTACATGTAGTACATTTGTGCAATGTATGTTACTCCCTGTTGCTAAGGATGTCATAAATATTATTATATATTGTCACAGTTTGATCTACAACATGTATAGGCAGGACCGAAATATCACTTTGCTTGTGCTAATTATGGAATCATTTTTACAGCTTTGTCTTTTGTGGATGACACATGATATTAGTCAAGAATGGCATCTATAAATGTCAGTAGATTCAAGGCTTTCAAGCCAAATGTAGGCTGCATGAAAAGCTTGTTACAAATGCGCATCTTGCTGTTGCCTTCTAAGGGAGACTCGAAATAGTTTTCCCATACATGTGTAGGTTGTTAATCCACATTGTTAAAGGTCACATGTACCAGTGTCAAACTACAATGTAGCAATTGGGCTGCAACCTCTATACAAGCCACTAGATCTAGAGATTACACTTTCGATTTTAATGAGCAGCAAATATTGAAAAAATGTCAAATCTTGACTGTGTGAATACTAAACACTCTGATTACTAGTACTAAAATGCAAATGAAAGCTGATATAGCAGACAAAAATCTTTTTTTATATAGTAAGGGTACTTTCTGTATTAACTAGTTATGTGGTGACATATAAATGTTGTTCTATTTTTCTTCAGTGTCTGGAAAAGCTGACAAAGAATTTGCTGTCGGCAGCGGCAGAAGGGAAACTGTCAGAGGATGACAAGGAGAAACAGAAAACAGAGATTGAGAAGGACATGTTCAAAGTCTTCTGCTACCAAGCAGAATCAGTAAGCATTTTGAATTTGCAATCATGTTTCAGTATAAAAGTTAATTGTATTCCTTCTTTGTAGACCTCACAATCATAGTATGCATAATTTTTTAATGACAAAATTATTGTTAGTGAACTCTTGAAATTGTTTTGCTCTCTTGTGCACTTGTATTAAGGTTACTACTTATATTACAATGAGTAATAAGCCTACAATCTACTTTCATATTTTTATTAACACTGGGGATGGATGAAACAACATACAGTGTAAATTACATCAAGGACTATGTTCTCTTTTTTCAAATCTCCTTCATAGGCTGTGGCTCAAGAACAGCATGATGTGGCCATGAGGCTTGCCCAAAGGTGCAAAGAGATGCTGGCCAGGTTGCCAAAAGAAGTAAGTAAAATGTCCTGTAGAAGACAGTCTTGCTGATACATACTGCAATGCAGGACACAGTTAACAGAGGGTGCTGTTGGGAGGTTACTTTGGTCATTGTAATGATGAAAACTTTACATGTTCACTTCTTATGCAATGCAGGCTATTACATTAATATGACTCTTAAGTTTGTATATACATGTAATTCCTGTTAATATGTTATTTTCAGACAACATTCCTTGCAATGCTTTGTTACAACTTTGGTGTGGAAACATATCAGAAACAGAAATATGAAGAGGCTGTTGCATGGCTCAGGTAATTTGAGCATACTTTTATGTGTAGTATTTTTCTTGACGACTTGATTTGATTGTGTACAACTTTGTAATCTTCATTCAACATTGGATTGCACTTGTACAGCAGCATTCAATGCATTACTCACCTTCATACACATCAATCATACACACTGTAAAATGTCATTTTGATGATGGATGATGTCTATGATTGTTGTTATAGGGAAAGCTTTGAACTTGGAAAAGGTAATGGGCAGCCAGCAACATCAAGCAAGAACCAGGTACAGTTTAAACTAGTAATAGAGGAATTTTCCATCTCTCACAAACCTGAAGATTTTAAGTGTCATGGTGATTTGTAAATATTTGCCTATTACAGTTATGTCCCTTTTCACCAACAGGCAAGGACTTTGAGACTTCTTGCTAGTGCCTATCTGGAATGGGACAGCAAGCAACACTGGCAGAAAGCACTGAATGCAGTAGGTAGGGCATCATAACTATCTTGTATTATGTACATGTACTTCCATAGAGTGACTGATTTCCTCTCCATTTATCTTAATCTTGTTTGTGATACAAACAAATTAAAAACTGTAGTATAGCAGGTCCAGGATTGCATGTAATTCCAGACTGACTGTCAATTTGTGATTTTCACAGGTCTGGCCAACTCGGTAAGTAAACTGTCGCCATTGTGTTGTTTTTTCCATATTTTTTTTTTTTGCAGAATATGTTGTATGAAGATAATTTGTCATATCTGTAAAGTTTTCACATAGTTCCAAAAGCTTAGCTTGACCAAGTTGGAGTTTGTTACAATGTTTTTTTAATACTCTAAGAGTACAATAATATTATGTTCTTTTTTCCTTCCAAGGAACATTCCCATTCTGCTGGTCTGCACCTTAAGGTTCACATCCTTCTGGTGTCAGACAATGTTGAGGACAACAGGCTTGTGTCAGGTACATAACTTACAAGTTCTTGATATATAATGACTGATTAATTAGCTTGGAAGTTTGATGAACCCAAATTCAACAGAAAATCTGTTGGACTTAAGTGACAACAGTTTTTGTTTTTTATTGTTTGAGTGGTAGGAAATTCTGCTGCTGAACTGTTGTTTCAATGGCCATTACTAGGCATAGGGAATGTATTTTTGGGTAACAACAGTGGTGCCATTATTTTCACAGCGGTAACAGACTGCCTCCATCATCCAGAAGTTACAGTGGAGCTAGCGCTCAACACAATCAAACTGCTTGTAGAACACAAGAGGTAGGAGAGTCCCTCAGTTTTCTGCCTCTTTACACTTCTTTGAATGTTTGAAGGAAAATTGGAGGTAGCCTTTTTAAGTGAAATGTTTCACAGTGACTGCACAGTAGAATTTAGTCCCTAAAGGGGTTTATGGAAAGAGCTGGGCTGGCTACCTGGGCAAATTTATCTGTTTGTAATCTGGGATATTGGGATTTTCTTATACGCCACCAGTACTTCTCTCACCTTAATGTTTCAATGTCTATCAGACACCTTCCTCAGAGCTTTGTAAGCAAAGTGAGAGAAGCACTGGTTGTGTGTAAGAAAATTGCAATATCCTATATTTCTACCAACCTAATGACTGTGAATGAGGACACTCAACAATCATCTTCGTCAATGAAGGACTACCAAGAAGAATGACATTATGTTTAAAAAAAAAAATTTTATATGATCTGGTAGGACACAGCTGGCACTAGATGGGGTGAAACAGCTGAGCCAGCAGTTCCAGGCCTCCCCAGGACTGGGGAAGGTTTACCTGCTCCATCTGAGGATTCTGCTGGACAACAGAGAGATGCAGGCAGCACAGGGTCTTATAGAGGACTGTATTTCTGGTTAGTTTCTCAAGGTTGTTGCTGGATGGAGACAAGAGAAATCTCTGTCTTGCACTAGCATGGTCTTCAGATAAAAAAGGGACAAAATCTGTCTTTTAAACGTGTGCCAAACCCTGTATTGTTATCACATCATCCATTATAAAGTTATCCTTGAGGGTTGGCTACAAGTGGAACCATGGATTGTGTTAAAGCATTCATTTGAAAGACAAGTAATATCAATATAACTGCATTTTCACTTCATTAAAACATGAATGGAAAAATTGTTATTTCACAAATATGCATAGCTGGACCATGGACTGCATTTTAGTCAGATTATGCTTGACAAATTCTCTTTTGTAGGTCACAACACCACACGGCCACTAGATACAGTTACCAGGAAACGTTTTCACCTCCTCTTATGGGAACAGGCTGCTCATGCATACGAGGTAGGCCAAATTACATATTTTGAGCGTAGTACTAGTAGTGAATTACATATTTTGACCGTAGTAGTGAATTCTTAACCATGAATTCTGTAGTGAATTAGTAGTGGTAATATATGAATTACATATTTTGAACGTAGGAGTGAATTCTTAACCATGAATTCTGTACTTACCTGTTGTACATACATTGACATAAGTTTGTATTCTTAACATGTTCTCTTATTTTTGCAGGCAAATGATCACGAAGAGGCACTCAGATGGTACAACTACTCAAGGAACTTGTTCTCCTCCAGTGATGGACAGGACAAGAACATGGCCAAATTAGAGAGAAACAGGAGTGCATGCTTCTTACATCTCAAGCAGTATAATAAGGTATCAGAAAGCAAACCCTTAGTTGAGGGGGGTTAGACGATTTGAGAAGGGAGGGTGATGCTGTGTGGAGCCAGTAAATGATGATCTATGTTAAGTTACAATCTTGAACATGAGGAAGTGAGGAAGAAGTATCATGAATGGGGATGACATCTGACTAAGGGAAAAGTTATTGGTGATTATTTATGCTGTAAAGAAAATCATAATGATAGCAAGTCAGCACCAAGGACAGGGCTATCCTAACAGCTAATGATTGGCAATTGAGCATTTAATGGTTGTGAGAGATTTTCAGTACCAAGGACAGGGTCAATATTACAGCCAATGATTGGCAATAGAAGTATAATCATGGTTGTGAGAGTTTTCCAGTACCAAGGACAGGGTCAATATTACATCCAATGATTGACAATAGAGTATAGTCATGGTTGTGATAGTTTTTCAGTATCAAGGACAGGGTAAACATACATTCAATGATTGACAATAAAGAGTATAATCATGGATGTGAGAGTTTTTCACTACCAAGGACAGGTATTTGAAAATAGCTACATGTAGGATGCTATGATGGCATTAGGCAGAACAGATTTTTGAAATGATGTTTCCCAATTATCTTCAAGGCACTAGAGGCAGCCAGGCTGGCAGAGACTTGTGACCCCAGCAGCCCCCACACCCAATATGCACTCTTCAAAATTGCTCTTTTACAAGGCAACAGTGATGCTGGTAAGTACTCAATAATATGTACTTCCATCAAATGTGCTTTTTCTTCTAGCACTAGTCTAGTAGTAGTCTTGTACAGTTAATGTCTGTTCTCAATACATCAGGAAATGCAGCAACTGTTGCAGATGATGACAGAGATAGTGTGTTTTGATGATTTTTTTTTTTGTTTGATAATGAATGTTCTGCAGCCATTGAGGCCATTGAGAAAATGGGCACTGCAGATGAAAAGGGGGAGGAAGACAGCACTGTTGAAGGGCTTGTCTGCCTGGCAGCACAGCTTGCATTTGAGGTTAGCAATAGGGCTACTTGGATTATATTAGATTAGATAAATACAACAAGTACTTCAGTGATAGAACAATGTTTCATCACCTAATCATACCTAAATTAAGTTGTTTTGATTAGCTAGCTCAGGTGTCAAATGGCAAGAATGTTGCTGTGAGATAGTCTAAAACACACATTATTTTGGATAGGGCTGGTTTTTACTTAATAATTTGATGATCCTTCCAAAAGTTTTGTTTCCTTGGCTTTTGTCAGTGTAAGTGAAGTGTCTTACTGTATTCTTAAATCAACCATTCCCAAATTAGGAAAGTAACAGGGACGTGGCAATAAGAGCATTAGAGAGACTGGTGCAACATTCTCACAACACTCAACAAGTTCTCACTGCTATCAGGTAACTGGTCCACACATCTTTATTGCAGATAATTACTCTCTTTTTCATTGTGTATCTAGAATGTAAAGCACATATAAATGGATGAAACTACACTTGTTGGTCATATTGTCATTCCATGTCAGATTCCATGTTTCATAGTTCTTTTAAACCCTTGTTTCCTCATTGACAGATGTTTAACAAGGCTTCGTCTCACCTTCTTAGGGACATATGAAGGGCAAAGGTATGTAAGAAAAAGGTTGTGATGTTTTATTCCAGTTGTGCAGTTCTGTATGGTAAATCTCAATGAATAGAGAGTGACATGTTTACATGTAGTTCACTCTACTACTGTGTACAAAACAAATGTATCTCTTTCTTCCATTGCAGAAGTGGTAATGACCTCATCCTATCTTACCTTGAAACAGGTAAACTGAGACTTAATTTGAAAAGTAAACGCATTTTTTATCATTTATCAACTTCACATAGTAAGAGTAACATTTGATAAGTAGTTTGTCAAAGGATTAGGAAAGTATGTTTATTTCTGGTAATTCAATGGCTTAAAATATTCCTTGGTCATTGCATGACTCATTTTTGCAAATTTGCCATATGGGGAAATTAATTTTGAATTGTTTATTCCCGACAAGTTAACAGAGAAATGAGATAATAGTAATAGACTGTCCTTTTGTTTTAAAGCTCACAGCAAACTCCAAGAACTGAAAGGGACCAAGGAGGATGGTGTGGTCAATGAAGCAACATGGTTCATGAAAATAGGTAAGAGCAATGCAGTTCACACCTAGATATTGAACATTAGGCATACATCATCTGTAATGTTAATTCTGTTGTTCTTCATTGCCCAACAACAAAAATAAGTCTTACTTAGACTCAATTTGTGATGATGTGAAGGAGTTGTTAACACTTTTAAGTCTAGAAGAATGCATCTAATTCAGTAGTCATGATGAAGCTTATAGAATATCAATGTTTTACAGCGTGGAACCTTGGGTTGAAGTGTGGAGAAGACAGCAACATGATGCACCAGTTCTTCAATATGTGCTTTAAGGTATGCCCTTTCTCAGGTCTCAGGTCAGATTTAATTCTTAAAATGTCCATCCATTACTATTACTGTTACCTCTAGAAAATGATTACTAGCCAAGGTAGTTTGTGTGTTTAATTATCATTTTTAAGTTATCTTCAGGTCCATTCTGCACATTATAATCTTCAAATAAAGGCTGGAGTAAAATACCATGTACTGAAGGAAGACAGGTTGTGATAATTGTAAGAATCATCATCTTGTTTGTTAGTTTTCGTCGCTATGTCCCGTGGACATGGCCAACCTGGTAAGGAAGAAGACGTGTGCACTGATGGCAGCTGCAGCCTGTCTGCAGTCAGCTAGAAATGCCCCAGATCCAGATGAGAAGGTAATTAAATCACCACATCTCTCCAACGATGCAGTTACTGTTCTTTATCTAAGTAGGTCATGTTTTGTTGGTTGACAAGATGAACCAAAAATTTATGCTGAGTTCCCCTCTTGTGTTGGAACAAAGCTTAAACTCCACACTATAACTTTGACGTCTACCAGTAAAGATGGACTTTAAGCCAGTAATCTATAATGAAAGTTTCATGCTAGTTGTATGTTCTACTACAGAAGAAGATGCTGAAGAAAGTCATCCTCTATGTTGATACATGCCGAGAGACATGTAGAGAAATAAGCAACAACAAGATATCAGACACAGGTACATTACTTCTGAGTTACTTCTGTTTATTATACAAATTAATCCTTATTTGCATGATCACAATATTACCAAGAACATGTTTCCAAACAACCATATGAAGTGAATTACATTAAATGTGACTATGTGATGTTCATTGATACAAGAGATCATAGACTTATCATATGCTGTATTAAGTTTGTGATATATACATGTACAGTCTGGGATAACTGACTGGTGTTTCTGACTGTGCAAATCAAAAGTACAATAACTTTTTTGTACAATCATGTTACATTCAAATTAAAAGGAATACAGAGATCATCTAATTCAATACTTCACATAAAAACATGCACCAATATGACTGTATCTTCCATGCAGCCCCTATGCTACATATGTAACTTTACTGACTAGACTAGATACTAGTATTAGGTACAATGTAGCTCCTAGTGTTTCAAACCAAAAGGCACTTTGCAATCATTCTGTTACATTGTCATGAAAGTTCCTTATTGGTAACTATACTGGCTAGGCTAGGTACTATTAGGTACATGTACAATGTAGCCTCTAGTGTTTTATACTACATAAGTCACTTTGCAATCATTCCATTACATGTCATGAAAGTGCCTTATTGACATAACCACCAGAAAGCCCTTTTAACATGATGTTTTCATTAAAACTCACACACATCAAAACTATGTTTTAATGCTATGATTATATACATTATGTACATGATAACAGTAATATCACAACTGGAGACTCATCAGTCACTAATTTGCTAACATTCACATGTGCAGATAGCAAATAGGTTTTAGAGATTGACAATGATACATTGTACATGGAAACAAGTATGTAGTCTTTAGAGCAAGTGGTATACCTGGGTCTCGAGAAACCTGTCAAGTCATCAGGCATCAGTATCATGATGCTGTATCTGGTTTTGACCATTTGTTACTGTATCAGTAGCTTCTGTGGTGCTGGTGTTGTTTAACATGACACCAGGGTCTGGGCCAATCGAACGGTTCCTTGCCCACCTCTTCCAACAAATTGCGAGAGTGATGCTACCAATGAGGACAATGCTGGCTGCTGCAGCAGCAGTATAGCCAATGAGAACAGACAGAGAGGGTTTTTGATTAGACTCAGTGACAGGTTCTTCTGGAGGTAAAGAGCCAATCAGAACAGGTGGGGGCACAGTATGAGCACTTTCAGGGTAACTGTTGCTCTCCATTTTGTGTGACGTAGCAGTGGTTGAAAGATGTGAGTTTGCTGGTGCGATGATTGTAGTTGCAGTTGTAGCTGCATTCAATTGTGGGGAGACAGTTTGAGCACTTTCAGGGTAACTGTTGCTCTCCATTTTGAATGAAGTACCAGTGCTAGAAAGAGGTGAGTTTGTAGGTACATGTACATTCAATTGTGAGACGGTATGAGCACTTTTAGGGTAAGTGTGACTCTCCATTTTGAGTGAAGTACCAGTGGTGGAAAGAGGTGAGGTTGCAGGTGACATTACAGTAGTAGTTGTAGGCATATTCAATAGGGCATCAACAGACAGTGTGGCAAATGTGGAGCCGACAGGACTTGCTGCAATGCAGGTATACAGACCAGCAGTAATGTCTGTTACGGTGTCATTTAGCTCCACAGTCACCCTCCCACCTGACTGAACTGTTGTGTTGCGTCCAGAAGGGAGGGTGACCGTGATGCCTGGTGCAGGGATTCCGGAAGCTTCACAGACCAAATGGAGTCTCTTCCCCTGTACCATTGTCTTGTTGTCGATCCTTTCAAATTTTGTGATGTCTGGTGATTCACAAATCAGATCTTTTGGATCAATACCTTTCAGCCTACGCCCAAGAAAGTTGACTGGTTTGGAACAAATGATATCAAATGATGCAGTCATCTTTAGCCTGAAGGGTACCATCCTGCAATCACACTGCCAAGGGTTGTTATTTACAGTCACTGAAGAGACTTGATTTGGGACTGTGTCAGGTTGAATGGTAGTAATGCAATTAAAGGCCAATGATAGCCTTTTGAGGTTAGGCAGACTTGAGAACATTCCAGGATGAATGTAAGATAAGTTGTTCCTGTCGAGCTTCAGTTCTTTCAACAGGGGCAAATTTGAGAATTCACCTGGTGGAATGTTGATTAACTTGTTAGAGTTCAACCACAACTTTTGCAGCAGTGGTAGATTTGAGAAACTACCAAGCTGAATGTTAGCTATCTTGTTGGAGTACAAATACAACATTTGCAGCTGTGGCAGCCCTGCAAAGGAACCTGGATGAATGTTTGTTAAGTTGTTGGATTGCAGCTGCAACACTTGCAGCTTTTGTAGATGTGAGAAACTACCAGTCTGAATGTTAGCTATCTTGTTGGAGTTCAACCTGAGATCTCGCAGCTGTGGCAAATTCGAAAAACTACCAGGCTGAATGTTAGCTATCTTGTTGGAGGACAAATACAACATTTGCAGCTTTAGCAGCCCTGCAAAGGAACCTGGATGAATGTTAGCTATCTTGTTTGAGTGCAACCACAACGTTTTCAGCTGTAGCAGCCCTGCAAAGGAACCTGGTTGAATGTTAGTTAAGTTGTTGGATTGCAGCTGCAACATTTGTAGCTGTCGTAGATTTGAGAAACTACCAGGCTGAATGTTAGCTATCCTGTTAGATGACAGCTTGAGCTCTTGCAGCTTTGGTAGATTAAAGAAACTATTAGGCTGAATGTTACTTAGAAGGTTGGAGTCCAGATATAATTTTGTCAGTCTCCTGAATTTTGCAAAATCAGAGAAACTCTTTATGGCTGTGATCTTATTGCCTTTTAAGTCAAGGCTAAAGATGTAAGTCCCATGTAGATTTTGAGGAACTGAAGTGAGGCCCATGTTCCTGCAGACACAGGGTGAAGTGATGCAGCTGCACCTGGCTACATTTGGTCCAGTAGTTTCTTTCAGTATGATGAGTAGGAGAACCAGTAGTTTCTTCAGCTTGTTGGACATTTTCTGTAACATGAAAGAAAAATAGGTATCGCATATGTTATTTGTATATACCAATATTGAAACAAAAGACAATTGGTGTTTGCCACCCCTAATTTAGCCACCATAATGAAGTGGCGTCGGTGTGGTGTATTGGATATAGCATCCGACTGTCAAGCAAGGAGACCCAGGTTAAATCCCCAGGGTTGGACCCAGACATATCCAGACATGCACCCAGAGGTTGTGCCCTTGGGAAAGGCACTTGATACATATTTTCCCCCCTCAGTTACAGTAGAGGGATTCTGGGCCCTACTAGGGTTTGGGTGTTAGGGCATCCAGCCGTAAAAATCTTGCTTAAAAAAAAAGACTTGTATTTGATGCAAGCACGTCTAACCCCTGGATTTGGGGGAAAATGATTATTAAATTGGATTTTAAAAAATAATGAATATTGATTTGATTGAAGTTTGCAGGTCATTGGGGGCCAAGAACCAACAAATCAAATTGGTGTGGCCTTAAAACCTATCATTGATGCTATAAAAAACATAACAGAAGTAAACAAAATTTCTTAATCCACTAGATATACACATGTAATATATACATATACACTGTTTGACCTCAGCGGGTGCTATGCATGGGCAACTTGAATTTAATTAAATTCACCAGAGTCTCATTCTGTATAGCCTACAAGCCATAGAAGTCATTAATTGTTAGGCAATGTGTAATCAAGCGTACCTTGGGTAGTTATTTGGAGTCGGGTGTTGTGTGGAACAAAGGTTGTTCTGTGTGCCTCTCCTGATTCAAGCTGCGTTCGTCGATGAGCTGACAAGAACCACTTTTCCCGCAATAGGTTGATGTCCCGAATGCCTAAATAGGCAAAATCACACACCACTGTCAGGATTTGCATACTAAACACCTTCAACAGCCAACATTTTAATGATCAATGATCAGCTTTAATGAGATCATTATCCATTAGATTCTTTATATTTCAAGTTGACAAATGTTGCTTATACTGTGCCTTACAATTTTAGCGTTATTAATGTTGTGTGGAATTGTAAGCAACTGTATGCCACCTTCAAGACTGACAGGAATGTTAACTTTTTACTCAAGGTAGGAAATGGCCTTGTGATGTTTGATTTCACTTCAATGGGTAATTATACAACAGTTACTGTAACAGTAAATCTGACTTCTTAATCTCTACAACCCAGTAAAGCACTTAAACCTGTTGCTTAAAATGTGTTCAAGTTCAGACTTCCTTCTACATGTACATGTACATGTAGTTGGATGCTTGATTAGCCTTGATATCTAAATCCTCTGTTTCTATGGCAACAGGGAAGTAATTTTCAGGTGACCCAAGCCATGTAGGCATGAACAGAGTTTGTGTATGTTCTTGCATACTTGGGGCAAACTTTGAGAACTAAATCCAACTTAACACCTATCTCTAGTATCAGAAGTTGGCCTCCCAACAGCTAACAACCATAATCATGAGCAAAATAGTGGGTCATCAGTTACAAACATATCCAGAACAGTTCTGAACATAGCTTTGGTTGACAATATCGGATGTTGGACGACTCTGACCATTACCAACTCGGCCCATCTTCTTGGTCAACTCGACCCAACACCCTGTTCAACTGGGCCCAATATCGGAGACAGGGATTTAGACACACACACATGTACATGCGTGACGATTTTAGTACAAATTAAGCTTTAATCAGCCGTTTAAAACCTCAAAACAGTGTTTGAGGTTATGTCGATGAAGGGTAGACATCCCGAAATAAGATATGCCAAAAAACAGTTACTCAAGCAACTGGATTTGGAAATGGTCAGATGTTTCAGGTGCCACTACTTTTCCACGTTTTCAATGGAGAGATCTCGAAGACAGCAGGTTTTAAAACACGAACTTTTGATTGATACTTGTATGCAAATAAAGTGAAGACAAAATTTTTATAGTCCAAAGGAAACAAAAGTTAGACAAGTCAAGACAAGGTTGATGCAAATGTGAAGATTAGCTCCTGTTGCTTCAGTTGTCTGTACTTGGGGCTGGCAGCGCAAGGTCGCAAGTGCTAGAGAGTTCCACCCATAGCCCCCTTACCACTGCTAGAGAGTCAATATATGAGAGAACGTGCAACCCCAACCCCCCTGATAAAAAGACAGACTTACCAAGAAACAAATGAATGTCCTGAAGAACTGTATCCAGACACAGTCACCTTTTCTCAAATGTCAGCCCACCTGATCGAAGACAATCCAAGTTCAAAGTAGACTTGAACTGAAGGAAGTCTCAGTTGTAGCTGTAGTGCCCGGGGTTGCAAATCCTTCAACTGCACAGTTTGCTCTCTGACTTATATATACCTACATGTACAGTCACACTGTTTTTGCTCCCTCAAGTAGAAAGGATTCAGTTAATTTTGCTAGCTGTGGTTCTCCTTTGAAGGCTATAGTGTATTTGAATCTATGAAATCAAATTTCCTGATGTTGACAATTTCCTCTGTAGCAACATGAGTCGAACACATTTGTTATAACAGTTGCCAAGAAACAACAGGGTTTTTTCATTACACCATAAGTCCACAGAAATCTGTAACTGATTACTTTGCAGTCTTACCTACATGAAATAATCCAGACCGGCAAATACTGGGGCAGTTCGCTACATGCATGCATTAGCGCTCCTTTGTAGTTTCTGGTTGACTTGTTTGGCTCTGATGAACAAGCCAATTTCTGTGATGAAATTTTGATATTTTGATCCAATATCAGGAAAACTGACTCACCAATTTGAAATAGAATTTTTGTATAAAGGGCCAAAGAGAAGAAGGACGATAATACGATTTGGTCCAGAAGAAGAAACATAGTTTACATCATGTTCTGAATATAAATCAGAAAGACCTCACATACATGACATCCTTATGTTTTTTTCTGGTTAACAATGTAGAGCTTCACATATCCTATTATCTATGTAATAGATTCTCTACTTAGTTTTTGTACTAATCCTAAGCTTGAAGTTGTAGTCCTCTCAGCTGTTGATGCAGTATTCATTAAGCAAACAGATAGTAAGTTAACTCAATTCCAAGAATTTGATTGCAACGTGCTTGGTCTAGCTATTAGCCTGGATTAGCAATGTGAAAGACCTACCCTGTATAGAATTGGTGTGTTACTCCTCAATATTAACAAATTTCATACCCAAATCACTGCACAATGTAGGAAAGAAATGAGAAAATTCCTCATTATAAATTAGGCTGTACAACACAGTAGATCCAAAGTTACATTTCAATAGGCCATGTAGCATAAGCAAATTCTACAACTGGCTAGTTGGTGTGTGTGTGTACTTCTCCAATGTAAATCACAGTGTACAATGTAACATAATCTTACTTCATTTGTTGAAATGTATGAAATCTGTGTCAGCCTAAGAAAGAGAATCCCTGTGTTGACCAGACTGTACAGGTGACAGCACACCCATCCTGCTCTGCCTGTATGAGTTTGAAGCCAAAGCGAAGCTGGGAGAGCCTGACCTAGCCCAGCTGGTGGACAGGGTGATGGCCATGCCTCAGGCAGACGCCAAGACTCTGGAGACCTTGGCAGGTGAGGGACGTGTGGATTAGCCTGGATGCCAGACCCATAGTACACTAGCCTCAAAGTTATCTGGTGTGCAGGGTGCTATGGGTCTGGCAACCAGGCTACATGTATCACATTGGCAGAACTTACCGCACCTGCGCAAAACCCGTAATGTATTGTGCATAGCACTTCGGCAGAATGTCTCATATAAGGTCGTATTCATATTTAACATCCCGTCTGCAGTTTCCAAATGTTCTGTTGGAAAAGATAGCGTCTGCAACAGGCAAAATTCTGATGCAATGTTGACCAAACATCCAACTGTGCAAAATCAGGGTTTCGCGCAGGCCCAGTACATTTTGCCGACGTGCTGTAACTGTGCCTATAATTGATGGTTAAAGTTGTTTTATCCACAGCTATGACATGATGTTTGTACCTTGATCTACAGCACTAGCCCAAGAAGCCCCTGCAGCCCAGCCCACCATCAGTGTAAAGGCCCTCAAGGAAGCCATCAAACGACACTTACAGACACCCAACACAGACTTCACTAAATGCAGGTACATGAAGTACATCTTATGAAATAGTCTTTGTTGGATATTGTACAACAATAAAACTTAAAATATTATGGATGTTTCATTTGCGCTGTAGCAAGGTTGACATTTTAATTAAGTGAACTTTTTTTTGCATGTGCTGTAGTCAGCATCTTTTTCATTTCACCTGAAATTGTTGCATTTCATAATATTTATATTGTAGTATACTATAATATACACTATAATATTCTCCTGAGCACCTGAGGTACATTCATTGATTGATTTACTTGGCAATGTGACATCATAATTTGACATGTCCCCCTAGCATAGATTTTACAGTTAAACCCCATGGTATTTCTGATTTCAGTAAAGCATTCCACAGTTTGATCCAGCTGGTCCTGAACAAAGGGTCCAATTCTGACCCCAGCAGCAAAGAGGAAGCCTGGGGATATTATAAAGAAGCCTTGGATATCATAGACAACAAGTCACAGGTGGGGCATAGATCCAGATACAATCTACATGTCTTACAGGTAATTATTTCACATGAAGACGATTTGTAGTAGCTTCCTCATATTCTTTATTTTTTTTGTACAGTAACAGATAATCTGCAATGATCATCTTCAGTTACCCACTACATATCTTATAACTCTGAATATCAACATGTCTGAATATCAACAGTGAAATGCTAGGAGTCTCTGCTGTGGACCTTGTTCATTATTGTGTAACTGTTACAGTAACTGTCACAGCAGTATACTGCCCCTGCTGTCTTAACCACTCTTTACTCTTCCTTTACTAGGGCTGTTATCCTGAGATGGAGATTCTGTGGTTGATGACCAAAGCCTGGAATTGTGGCATCCATTTACTTAGGTTTGTTGGTGTGGTGTTCATCTTAATTTTCTATAGATACATTTTGTACCATGGCAATTACACCTGTATCACTGTTGACACAGTGTAAATGGCCAGCCCATGTGTTTCTTTGAAAAAAAAAAGTAACTACATCTGATTCAGTGATAGACAGGAAATAATTATCAAGATTGTCAAATATCTGGACACCAGAAGAAGAGGTCCTGGAGAAATATGATATGTGAAACTGGAACGTACATGTAATGTATCTATTCTGTTCTTCGCAGTGCTGGCCACTATGTAGATGCTGAACATTGGTGTGGGATGAGTATGAAGTTGCTAAAGCACCTTACAAGCCTTCGGACACACTATGACACCCAGGTAATATTTCATTCAAAATTTCAAAAAGAATTCATCAGTCTATATGGTGAAAAGTTATCATTATAAACATTTGACTTGTTTTAGTTTCATGATTGTGGTACAAGGTTATACTTCAGTGTACAGTTTACAAATCCTATAGCAAAGTTTCAGAACAGCACATATCAGTTTTGTTCGAAATGTAGCTATCATGGATGGAGTTGATAAGAGCTTATTTAATGTATGATCTATGAATAAAGATTCCTCCATAGAATATATTTATACAGATGAAGTGATGTTGATGAGAGACATTGCATTCTAGCGTTTAAAAATTGTTTTACTGAAAATCAAAACATCGATATGCTTTCTTGCAGATGACTACCGTGTATGGAGAGGTCTTAGCCAAGATTGAAGCACAGAAAGTACGTTCCAACAAAGAAGAGTGACCAAATGTTATGAGCCAAGATAATTCTATTTTGATGAAAGTCAAAGCATCTTGCAGTTAATAATTTATGCAGCGCAATCCTTTTGAAATCATATCTTCCTGCCTATACATATCATGGTTCATTTGAACCATGGCCAGTTGAGTTTGATATTGCTAGAAAAATGTTTTTCAATATTCAGGTTTTTATTTTGCCGTTTGTAATTTTTAATATCTATATTTTTACAAGTTAATGTGGCAAGGTAAGATATAAAACATTTTGCATAGAACTCATGCAATGGACAGATTGTTGCAGCCACACTTAAGTTTGTGAATTGTTGCATTTTCTAGATGCAGGAAATATTAACATTTAAAGTTTCTTGAAAAGAATTCAGTTATAAACATTCATACTTAATCATTCACAATATGTTGCAAATGGCCTTAACTAATGACTTTAAGGTTGTAATATATGTAACAAATAACATAAATTTTATAAAATGCTTTTCTCTGCATTTCATTATGCTTATGTAAGCAGAATTGAATAGGAGTATTTGCTTCTTAAGTAACAAATAAAAAGTCACTAATGATTGTGTGTAGCCATAATTCATAAAGAAATACCTTTTACATATTAATGGAGCTATAGATGTATACATAAGTACTCACACTTATTCTGCTTATTACTAGATTAAGTATATATACAGCCAAATATAGTATACTGAACTGCCAAAACCTTTAGGGGTAGATTTTTTTTTTCTTAGCTATGTTGAGATAGCAGACTTCACCCCCTCTTGCAGAATATACAGAAACTGCAGTACAGAAACAGACACACTCATACATATACAACAACACTTAAGTCCGTTGGCCTTGAAGCAATGAAAGTTTTGACTAAGTACAAATGCGGCCACTAGTCTACTGCCATCGAACAAATAGAGGGGCGTCCTTATCTCTAAACAGCCGTTTGAATGGAATGCTGCGCTTAGCTATTCTAGCATTGCAGGTCACAGCTTGTTCAAGAACACTCACTCCCACATACTTCGCAAAAATCCGCGGGCGTCTTGAGTTGGCAGAGTGTGGGATAATTCCTTGCAAAGTTGTTTTTTTGCCTCGGTAAATAACGTTTTTATTGACCGTTCTTGGTATTAAATGTCTCATTTCTAAAAGTTAATTTTTCGGTTCCCTGCTGTTTGCATTACCCGTGACAAGGCCAAAACGCCCGCCTGGTCCTTGGCAGCGTGCCCATTGAACTTTGCCAAGCACTTATCTGATGCCGACGACAGAATGATAAAGAAACGGTCCCGAACGTATCGCACATGGAAGGAGAAAGGAAGTTGGTTTTGCAGACGTGGTTGCCATGCATGGACTGCTTATTCCAAGGAGAGCACAGGAAGCTGAACAATATTTTAACTTCCTGTGATATCCTGGTTTCTGTAAAAAAAATAATCCACTACGTTTCGATGATGTGGTCATTTCTTATCGGAGTAAAGGTACACAACAGGAAGTGGACGGGTATAAAAGGGCAGTGCACAAGTCTGGTTTGGAGAAGCTGACTTTGGGGCGCCTATCTGTGCGGTAGTTTAAACCGCTTGTGCGATTTGAAAAGTCTTGCCGCAAACAGGGCCAAGGTAAGATCTGTCAGTGGTTACATTTGTACGTTACAAACTAAGTTTTGTTTTTGGATGAGTTTGCTTGCTTTGAATTATAGTGTAGTTAACTTGAAATACTTAACCACATGACGCTGAACTGGCTTGGATTTCAAGCTTATTGTATATTTAGAAGTGTTAACATTTACGGTTTTTGCTTTCCAGGGATTGTGATACTCAACAAGCTTAAGACCCTTCACTGAAATTGTCACTCGTAATTGACTGCCTTAATCTTTTAACAATAATTGTGTTCTGTTTTTTTTCCACAGGCAACTTTTCACCATGAGGGTGCTGTACCTCTTAGTCCTTCTTGTCCCAACTTGTGTTCTTGCACAGAGCTTCCTGCAGAGAGCCCTTTCCGACTTGGCCCAAGGCGGGCGGAAGGTTTGTCCATACTGCCCGTACTGTGCGTACGCCTCGCGGTGCGGCGGTAGATGCACGCGGCCTGAGTGTGCTGCCTGTGGGTATCGCTTCCACTGTTCGTCCACGTGCGTGACGCTGTGTCTGCAGCCCGAGACTACCACGCCCCGTTCTACCACTACCACCACAACTACCACCGAGGCTACAACGCCGCCAACAAGCACAACTCAAGAGCCAACAACGACGCTTCCAGTGTCCACTTCCCCCGGGCCTTCCACCAGTCCGAACCCGTCGACTGCGCCTCCGAGTTCCTCCCCCGACCCGTCTGCGTCACCGTCGTCCCCTCCCGACCCGTCGGCTTCCCCGTCGTCGCCACCCGACCCGACCGCCGCATCACCGACGCCTCCCGACGAAGACTCGGGCTGCGAAGAGCGAGGAGGGTACTGCGAAGAGCGGGACTACTCCTGCCCTGGTCGCTACGTCTTCCACGGCGGTCTTTGCGCCGACCGGCCTGGACGAGTCTGCTGCCTGCCCCACGAGGAGCCCCTGTGCCGAGAGAAGGGCGGCGTCTGCCGGAGCGACGCGCGGTCCTGCCCGAGAGGGTACCACGAGGGAGGCGGAAGCTGTACGGGGCCTAGCAACAAAAACAAGCGATGCTGTCTACCAGACCCCACCACCCCGGCTGCTACCACCCAGATGCCGTCCACAACTAAACCTGCATCTACTCCACCCGCTACTACTACTCCTAAAGCAACGCCTCCTCCGCCTTCAAAATGCAGTAAACTGAAAATGGTCAGCCGGGGAGGTTGGGGCGCCAGACCGCCGAAGAAACGCACCTTATTCGCCAATCCTCCGAGCAGGGTTGTCATTCATCACAGTGACGGTTATCTAAGACATCTGTTCAGCTGGAGCTATTCCAGCGTGGCTGACTACAGGGAAAGAGTACAAGATATCCAAGAGGGCCACTTCGACAGAGGTTTCGACGACATCGGCTACAACTTCCTCATCGACGGCTTCGGCAACGTGTACGAAGGGCGTGGCTGGGACTACAGGTCAGTTGATACTTGCGTCATTTTAAAGATAGCAAAAAAAATAGAAGCTTGATTTTTTATACAGTTCTTTAATTACAATATCAAATATGGAAACGTTTGAAAAAGTTCAAACTTCATTTATCATCAAAACTAATTAACGCTAATTGCAAAAGGACGCATATTTTGGCAATTACAAATGTATTTATAACGCCGTAAAAACCAACACTTAACAAGTAAGTTTCATTAATCTAACGATGAACACATTTTCCCTTCTATTAATTTTGCGAAGGCTTTTAATGAAGGCCTTTGATATAATAATATGCATTATTTTCCCTTTCCAGTGGCGCTCATGTCCCGTGCTGTAACAGTTTCGCACTCGGTATCAACTTCCTCGGCTACTTCGACAGCAGAACGCCCACCGCAGCGGCTCGGGAGGCCGGGGAAAATCTGATCGCCTGCGGAGTGGAGATGGGGAAAATACGGCAGGGATACGACCTGAAGTGCCACCTGGACCTTGGGGCGGCCAGTGGAGATACGGACTGTCCCGGTGCAGCTCTTTGCCGATACGCTAGGAGGCATTATAGTGGTCTATAGAGTTAAATGAATGGTCATGTGTTGCCATTTCAAGTTTGACAGTAATGTGTGTGTGTTGAGGTCAAAATTCAGTTTGTATTTGGCCGCGATATGTGGTATTTGTATTTTTAAGATTCTGGTACAGGATATGTGTTTTGTGCAGGTGTGCAGATTTGTTTTAAAATGTATCAGAGATCACACTGTCCGCTCAACATTAACTGTAGTCAACATTAACAGACGGATACTACACTATTTTCTTCATTCCTAATTAATATTCTCTTACTGTGTGTTGTCTGTGCATTGTTTTACTTTAAAACGTCTTGCTGTCCTTTGAATGCATATATGCAGAAATGAGATCCAGATTTAAAATTACTACTACATGTACTTCTAGCACGAGAGGGATAGCTGTCACATACTCTATTTCACAATGAATTAATTTTCAGATTTCATAATCATTATGCTAGTTGCCTTTTATTGAAAAAATTAAGGACATACTATTAAAATGAAACACTCCACAACCCTTCATCATGCAGTTGGCACATTTTATTTCAGCAGCAGAAAACGTTAAGCACAATTACTTATCACTTGATGTTTACTATCCACATCCGGACTCATGTCATCTTTCTAATGATGGAATGTAGCGGCTTGTAGCTTAAGTTTCACTGTTGCTGGTGTAGGGCGGAGTTCTGTTGTTGTTGGATGGGTGGATGGGGAGTTTAATACTCCTCTCCCTCCTCCTCACCCTCACCCTCCACGGAGTCGACTCCGACCTCCTCGTAGTCCTTCTCCAGGGCAGCCAGATCCTCACGGGCCTCGGAGAACTCTCCCTCCTCCATACCCTCACCGACGTACCTGCAAACACACATGGGTGGTTATGTTAGACCTTTTAAAACTAAAAACAAGTAAAACGATAAAAAAGGCATAAAAACTAATGCTATGTGTCTTATGTCGTAGGAGATACACTCATCATCATTTTCATTTCTTGGTTCTGTGATTAAATAAAGGGCTAATGTCCGAAACCGAGGTGTTTAAGGTGTCATAAGGTCTGCTTGCTATAATCACCGAATTATCCAACGACTTCAGCGCACATGTAGGGATTACGGCCTCACAATTAGTATCGAATGTGGGCTCCTGATTGGTCAATAAATCTTGGCCATATGATAATAGAAAAGATAAGAAAAGGAGATCTTACCAGTGGACGAAGGCACGCTTGGCGTACATCAGATCGAACTTGTGGTCCAGACGGGCCCAGGCCTCAGCGATGGCGGTGGTGTTACTCAACATGCACACGGCACGCTGCACCTTGGCCAGGTCTCCGCCGGGCACCACGGTGGGAGGCTGGTAGTTGATGCCGACCTTGAAGCCGGTGGGGCACCAGTCGACGAACTGGATGGTGCGCTTGGTCTTGATGGTGGCGATGGCGGCGTTGACATCCTTGGGCACCACGTCACCACGGTACAGCATGCAGCAGGCCATGTACTTGCCGTGACGGGGATCGCACTTCACCATCTGGTTGGCGGGCTCGAAGCAGGCGTTGGTGATCTCGGCAACGGACAGCTGCTCGTGGTAGGCCTTCTCTGCGGAGATGACTGGGGCGTAGGTGGCCAGGGGGAAGTGGATACGTGGGTAGGGCACCAGGTTGGTCTGGAACTCGGTGAGATCCACGTTCAGGGCACCGTCGAAGCGGAGGGACGCGGTGATGGAGGAGACGATCTGGCCGATGAGACGGTTGAGGTTGGTGTAGGTCGGGCGCTCGATGTCCAGGTTACGGCGGCAGATGTCGTAGATGGCCTCGTTGTCGACCATGAAGGCGCAGTCGGAGTGTTCCAGGGTGGTGTGGGTGGTCAGGATGGAGTTGTAGGGCTCTACCACAGCGGTGGACACCTAGGCGACACAATATTATACTCTTAGATACCTGGTCCAATACATAGACTATAGAACTATGGTCACAAACCATAATGGTCTGCGAATGTATAGTTTCGTCACACATGTTCCATGTATATTGACTTGAGCTGAGGTTTTACAAAATTTTCACAGAATTTTCAAGCAGGCTCTAAGGCAGATTTTTCCGTAACAAGACAGGTGAATTTTACAAGCACGACTATCCAAGGAGACCGCCAGTTTTCGGTCGTACGACAATCGCACGACGCATGTGACCGGGCCATTATTTGTCAAGCTTATATAAACACGTGAGCACACACCTGTGGGGCGGGGTAGATGGCGAACTCCAGCTTGGACTTCTTGCCGTAGTCCACGGACAGACGCTCCATCAGCAGGGCGGCGAACCCGGACCCGGTGCCGCCACCGAAGGAGTGGAAGATGAGGAAGCCCTGCAGACCGGTGCACTGATCGGCCAGCTTACGGATGCGGTCCAGGACCAGGTCCACGATCTCCTTGCCGATGGTGTAGTGGCCGCGGGCGTAGTTGTTGGCGGCATCCTCCTTGCCAGTGATCAGCTGCTCGGGGTGGAACAGCTGGCGGTAGGTACCGGTACGGACCTCATCTGCAGGAGGACACAAGAAAATATAAGAAATATTAGTGTAAAGTCAATAAAATACAGAGCATCACAGTAGCAAAAGAAATCACCTTTCCCATCCGTTGCTATGTTTTGACATTCCATTATTAGATGTCTTGGGCGTTTCTCATTCTTCTTATCATGAAAAGCTTCTTCGAGTACTTTTCCTCAATCGTCGCTTCCTTAACGACCGACTCTCAATAACATCATGTGACATTTAGCCGCCAAGTAATTTTCAAATGAAGCTCACACGGCACAAAATCAGATAAGGGTCTGATCTATGATGTAGAAAGGTCATACAAGCTAACTGTATTCAGTATGAAATATCACGTGTGCAAAGTGCTGGCAGTTATACCATCGATTCTCTCTACCACGCTGCGGTTTCTCATTACAAACTGATAGAGCCGATATCCTAGGTCATAACTTTGGTGGAGATTTATATAGGGAATATACGTTTTACAACTCTGGTCACGTTTGAAAGAGTTTGAGCAGGCTATCTTTGGAATGCCGCGTATGTCGTTTATTGGTATGTGTACGTGTTACGTTAACTCCGTTGATATTCAACTTGTCTAAAGTCAGTGCAAGTAGAGATGAGAACTATCGTCAACTTTGATTCGTGAATTAAAATAAGTCAGGATATGTTTTCAAATCTGTGTGATGATGTTTTCATTCCGTTTTTTCGTCGTTCACATTGATTAGAAATTCTGTTTTTGACAAATATGGCCTGATAACCAAAGCCGATATGAAGGAAAGGTTGTTCTTCACATTTCGTTACAAACAACACGACAACAACACTTCCAAAACACGACCGTGAAATGTTACGTTACATGTAACGGTTCAGCGCCATTCAAAACAAAGAAAACCGTTGCTAAGGCCAGACCTGGCCAGGACGGGGGCCAGGACTTTCTTTTGTCCCGACAAACAAAAGCGCAATGCTTTGAAAAGCTACACGCCTGCAAAGGGGACAAAGTTTGCTTTGAAAGTTTATCCACAGGTTCTTATATACACGCTACGCTATGGTAAACAGTGGCTAAAGTCTCGCCCAGACAAAAGTGTACCTCCTATTACAAACAAGGTGTGCAACCGCCATTGTGATCTGTTTGTCAAAGACGTCGCGCTGTTATCCTATCAAAAGGACTACAAAATTTCTGCATTATGCAGTCTTATTGGCTTTTGTTGGGTGTAGAGGAATTTAAGGGACCTAGATATGCATATTGGTATAAACATACTTGTTGAAAAAACGAAAAGGGTTTAGAAATAGTATGTTTAATACTCAAATTGTTTTTGTACACAAATGATGGTCAATTTACTTCAGAATTTTCGTAAAACCGTATCCTGGCAGAAATTTATGATGCTTTTCTTATATAGGAGTGTTTGTATTTCCTTTTCAAACCTGTAGGTCTTTTAAAGTTTGGAATTTTAAGAGCTTTTTTATGTGTGAACGTTGCAATGCAAAGCATTGGCCAACATAGCAACGGTATGTTTTGTTTATATCACGACAAAAAGCCTATTTTGCACTTGTTATGGGTAAAACAAATGAGTAACGGCAGCCTGGTTTGAATGCATGCATTTCATAAACGATAGTTGGCTAAATTTCGGACGAACTTATTTCTATAACCTCCTTGACGACATCGAAGTAAAATAGAAAAGACGAGAATGCCTGGCACTGATTTTCACTAGTGCTTCGCTACATGCTTGACATTATTTTTTGTAAGAGCGTCCGGTTGTTCTTTTAACTCCTGCTCTTTATGTGATTTAGGCCCTGCTTAGAATGTAAAAAACACTCGACTACTTTTTGATCGCTGAGTCTCTTTCCTATGATGAAAAAATATTGATTTTCCCCTCCTAGTGTAGCTCACATCTCCCTCGCAGAGGCTAATATATTTCCTAGGATTTTTGTAACGTATCTGGTTAACTCTTTACCGATAACGGTGGGCTCCAGATCGACGAAGACGGCACGGGGCACGTGCTTGCCGGCGCCGGTCTCGCTGAAGAAGGTGTTGAAGGAGTCGTCGCCACCGCCGATGGTCTTGTCGCTCGGCATCTGGCCATCAGGCTGGATGCCGTGCTCCAGGCAGTACAGCTCCCAGCAGGCGTTACCGATCTGAACACCGGCCTGGCCGACGTGGATGGAGATACACTCACGCTACGGGAGAAAAAAAAACGACAAAACAATTATTTTTTTTTACAAAAGACAACAGCTTCATCTGATGAAAAATACCACAAACCTTTATTTCTATTTATTACATATTTTTGAAAGCTTATTTTAGAGAACTGTGATGTATATATTGATAAAATACAATGAAAACGACGTCTTGTAAAATGTAGGAACTTCATTGTTATGTCAGTCACGCAGCAACATGATGCAACGTTCCGGGGGTCGTTTCTTTATATAGTACGTGGCCTTTAAGTGTGACAGAGCGCCTTATGAGATAACATGAACATCCTATGGCACATTGGCACAGCAAGCTTTCACTTTTCGACAAAAAATTTCGCTAAAATATGACTGATTCTATTTTTCTGATAAGAATGGCGCCTACAGTATGTTAGAGATATAACTACACAATAACTATCACTAGAGGTGCCATCATTTCGGCGTTGGGGTGATATAATAGAGACTAGTACATCCATAAAGATTGTGTGAATTGATACCACGATCGAAAAGAGGCCACATCGTCTGTTGGGGTACATGTATTCTCCTCTGCAGCTACACTGAATTCAATAACGTTTTATACACATAATTTGATGAAATGTATCTCAGATATTGTCTGAAATGTACTCACCATTTTGGTTTAGTTGTGTTTTACGAAGATGACCTCAAGAGGCGAAGATTTTCGCGGTTTTTTTGGACGCTGAGTACTCGACGTTGCTCAAGGGGCTGACGAGTATTCGGGAACTGAGCCGGTGGGGGCCGGTACCCGCGCTTTTATTCTCACCGTCACGTGATCACCAAACTGCGCGCTGATTGGCGCAGACGACATTCAACCCTGTTTTGTGCCTTGGATACCAAATGACGCCCCCCGTGTGAGGTTTACTGTGATACACGGTTGCTGTTATTTTTGGCGGTGGTTGCTTGGGTCCAAGCTTTTGTCACAAGTGTCCATTGAACGTATCGCTATAGTGACCCAACTATTGTGCTCGCCTGGTTGTGTTCTGAAACATTATCCTACTTGAAACATGGCGTAACCGATCAACAATCGCCAGTTTTGTATCCAATCCTGTCTCCATCTGTTCTGAATGTAGACCGTTTAGTCAGATTGTTCTCTTAGTTTCTAAAGCCCGCTTCCTTCCTCTTTTAAAAGATAATACAACTACGTCTGTCTCTTGTGGATATGTAAAGCACTTCGGTAAGGCTATATAGAAGTTGAAAATATAAGTGTAACGTTACATGTACGTGAAAAAGGTTTACCATTCGAAGGCGAATGAATGGCTTTGCAGATGTAAGGGATTATAACTTTGAGAGATTGACGGTTTTGAGTTTCTTGTATGAAGAAGAGAAACTAATAGATATCTGTACAGAATATTAAATATGAATTAAGGATGTGAGTTCGATCTAGGCAGAAGATACAGTACAACCCAAACACTCTAGTTCCGTGTTCAGTGTTGTGTCAACCAGTCAGGTTTTTTACGCATACGCTTATTCGTATACTCATCTGAATGACTTTAGTAAATCTGAAAACATTTTCCGAAAATGCTGTCTTCTTGGGAGACGGACAACACAAAGTTCTGCGGTAAAGAATACCGATCACCGCGGTGTAGTACATTGTATTTATATTGGCAACGGCTTCGTTGTTTATTTTCTTCAACACAGGCGTTGATTTTATTATAGCAGCCTGTTGCTACGAGTCGACTCATGCTCCGTGTATGTGTACATTTGTCCGGTTAAGGTTGACGTGTAAACACGGCAAATAAAAGGCGTGTTGTCAACGTCACGTCACGTACAGAACCACTCCGCTTAGGCCGTTCTGTACTGCTAATAGTACTGAAACCGTTTGTTATTGCGACTGAACCCGCCAAGTTGAGTGGTTACGCCCGTAGAGATAATTGATTTTTCTACTTCCTTGTCAACGGTATAGCCTGGGTACCAGACCCTACCGTGAGTTAGAATCCCTTCGGCCAGAGAAGCCATACGCACCGCTATTACCCCGAGTCGGCACCCTGGCTCTATCTCCTTGCTACCTTGAAAGATAAAAAGGGTTTGGGCGGATACTCTTGTAGCGGACATTAGGGTTTTTACCCCCCGGAAATCTATCGCTTATGATCTGAAACGCCAGCGTCTGGCACCCAGGCTACTACGGTATGGACGCGGTCAGATTCGTGGAACGAGTTCTTTTCTCGTACGACTTTCAGTGAGGGTAGACAGGCAACACCGACCAACCACCGACAAGCCTTTACGGCGACATTTCCGTCACAAGACAACTTCATCTTGTACAGCATACCCACGACTGACCCAAGAATGTCCTCAATGTCGTACGATAAGTTTAAAAAAATCATCGTACGACGGACCAGGCGGGCCTTAAGCAGGACTTTGTATACACGCGTAGGTCACCGAGTCCCAGAGGGACGGACATTTTATTATTGATCACATATTGATGTCTCTGTTTCCATAGATATCACAGTAACTTATACATGGCTCAAAATTAGAAAAAAAAGTACGAATGAATGTTCAAGATATGAAAAATGTGTATGACGTAATACCGCCAGTTGTACAAAGGTAGATTGACTATAAAAATATGAGGAAAATGTGCTAGCAAAAAAAGCAAACTGAGTAAAGCAATACCGTGCAGTCTCTTCGTTAACTTACTAGTAGTCACCAGCCTTTAACTTGTTGACCATAAACTTGCGTTGCCATGTTGTAACAGCTACGTTTTTCAGATGGCTATACCATTTTGAAATGACCGAAGGGGAAATGTTTTAACTTTTATTGTTTGGGTTGCAGCGTCTGAAATGCCATCCCTGTTTGTTTTGGGTTTGTCAACTGTTTGTTTCCATTTCTTTCGTAAACACTGTCCTCCATAAGGCCGATAGTAACCTGGACACGGTAGTTGTTTGTCTCTATGGCGTTGTCTGTTATTTTCACGTATAATGTTGTAACTTTGCTCAACTTTTTTATTTTCAATACACAGTCCTGTGATTAAAAAGTTCACGAGTTTCCAAGCAACTCCCCTTGAAAGTGACATAATGAATTATAGCATTTAGCCTTATGCAAGCAATCATGCTGGCAGCGTTTGAACAATGTCAACACGGAAGACCCTAGCTTGAACATATATGGGATTCTTTATTGACTTTCGTGTGGAACATATGCAGACGTCGACTGCATTTAGCCTCTATGTAGGCTCTACCATGACACTGTTGGTTATTGTTTTTTGTTTGCTTGCGAATTACGTACTGTTTCTATAGCCTCCTTCGCAGTCTTGTTGGGCGTCGGCATTATTTTTTCTCTGAGCGACGCGAGTGATATGCGGCCGCGAGGGACGATTTGCTGCCGAGGGAGTTTTTGCCACGGGCACGGAGAGAAGGTTTCGCGCTCCAACAACGAAACCTTCTCTCCGT